TTGGCGTGAATCATCATTACGAAAAGTCTTGAAGGAGGCCTCCAAGATTGGTACATCTTTGGTTGGCCCACGTTTCAGCCCCTTCGCCTTATCCAGAGCCCGAAACCTACGGTATCATTTCAGACTAGTCCACTCGAAATCTTTAGAAAAAAGCAGTGACTGTTCAATATATTTTTATACTTTGTAACTGTTTTATTCTCTTAAAATTCTAATCATGTTTTTACATTATTTGTGCTGTATTAAATATATATTATATTAAATATATACTATAAATTGTATTGTATTGTATTAAATATATATTATATTAAATATAATATATTAATACTGTATTTATTACTTTAGAAAGTCTATATTTTCTCATTCTTGCGACAAAACAAAAGATGACGGGCAGTATAGAGTTACATGTCAGTAGGGAATCCGTTATTATGTGCAAATGTATCGAGCTAAGAGAGTTATTTGTTCAGCTCTTCCTCACCTGTTTTCATTAGAAGCGAGACGACTGAACCTGAAACAATACACTTACTGGTAATGGCCTAGATATGAAAACCTCTTTCACGTTCTCATTTTCTCTCTCTACTCCAAGGGTCTATCCAACAATCTTTTTTATTTTAGTAGACACTTTTCTTTACAATCTCGCTCTCATCCGGAGCAACTCCAAGCGTCGCGTGATTTGATCTCTTACCTTCACCATAACTGGATGCTGAAGCTCCACCTGCAATGAATCGAACTTTCTTCAGAAGCATCCCTGAGCGCCTCTGTCTAACGGAGGCCGACGTCTGCCAAATCAGCGGTTCAACAATCGGCATTCAATGTTCTCATGGAAATTAGTTATACTCCTCAGTTTTCCGTTCATACATTCCTATCCAGACCAGCCACTCTACGATGGACCGCGCCAAAGTTACAAGAAGTGGGTTTTTCTTAATTTTCATGGGAAAATTTTATCCAGCTTTTCCTTCACGATAGGAGGGCCTTACTACCGCAAGCGTATTTGCCCACGAGATTTTCAATGAGTTCGGCGTCAGCATGTAAAATGGGTGAAATGCTCTTACTGTATGACCTCCACCAATTTAATTATATTTTGACTTTGTGGAGCTGGCAAAAAAATAACCAAACGATGCTAACAGATTAACATTAAATAAAGGGATGAATCTTCGTCGTAATCGTCCATTTCTTTTCTGGTTGGGGGGTGTGGCCAATTTGGGGATGGGGAGGAGGTGCCAGAATTCCACTCCCATCTTAGAATCGCAGTGACGTGTTGAATGGCTTCACATCACGAATTTGAACTGAATCCCTTTGAACGTTCTACTTCTCTTTTTCTCGCTCACGCTCTCGCCTGCATTGATTCTATGCAGTTCGTGGACTTTGGCTCACTCCAACTTTCCCTCCACTGTAAGCTAGCTCACCACCCTGCCCCCTCCCTTGAATAAATCCAGGTTTCTTGGGCGTCCCATCACGTTTTAGGCACGTTTTGATGCTTTGGGCAGCCGCTCGCTCTCTACCCGTATGAGTCACAGGGTTTCGTAAAAGGACCATGCACAAAAGTCAAGATGTCACGTAACCGAACCTTGATGGCCTAGGCTGGAGCCGATCAGAAACTTGATCACCGGACCACGCGTGTGGCAAGCGGGCAACTCACCCTACGCTACCTTCGCCTCTCATGTAATCTCTATACCAGCGATCCTCTTTTCTAAATAAGCTAGTAACAATTACATTATGAATGATGTAATTGCTACTCCTACATATTTGGATATGATGTTTTCGCAGTAATATGGACGTTTTTGAGTGCACTTTCTCAAACGACGCGTCTTGCTTGATCCCTTCTGGTCAAGCGCTTCGTAAGGTTGATGGCTTAATAGCTGACATTAAGTAAGATTGAAGCGCTGGCTTAAGCCGCTGCTATCTAATCTCGTGCCGTTTAAATATTCATATATAAAACGGGGGACTTTCGAGGCATGATGAGATATAGGCAAAGGAATTGGACCTAGCCAGAACTGAAATTGGCTAACTTGCTTACCGAACTGGAGTGCTAGTCATTACACCACAGGGGCCATCATATACCCTCAGCCTGGTGGCTTCTGACATAGTTTATCTTGGCGCGGCGCAGCCCCTCGCAATCTCTGGCGCAATTCCCCTTGGTGGGGCCATTTTGCTGGTCCCCACCGATCATTGCCCATGGCTCCATTGGGACCAGTGAATGACTGTCAAGCTATGCAGTAGCAGGAGATTCAGTCGCACCTGACAAAAGAAGACAGGTTTTATCAGAGACAATAATTCAACATAAACTAGCAAAAGAAACTAGTAAAGGTGACAAATGCCCATGCTCCCTCCTCCCCCTAGCCGAACGCCACCGTTTATATTTACCAGGATTGACAAGATTTTTACTACCAAAGTGTTTTTCCCGTTCCCACTGACTGGCTCATGCTATGAAAAATCGTACACGGAGATCACCCGCACCTTTTGACTTCTAATTGTGGTTATTTATTTAGTTGCTTATTTTCCGTTTTTTTTTTCATTTATTTGCCCATTTACTTATTCAGTTAGTGATAAAGATGATATTGGAGGACGAGTACTTCAAAAAATCAAATGCAGTGCAAATTCGTGCAAAGTCATTGTTAGAGGAACGGGTGGATAGAACTATTCGCGAACTTCGGCGTAAATGGGAGCCGCAAATTTCAAGCGGCAAGGGCAAAATGAGCTGATGGTCCACATTGAGAAGGGAATGTCCTTATAGTTCGTCACTAGTACCACAGTCTCGAAAAGTATGGGTGATCCATCATGAATAAGTCCATGACGCATAATAGTTCCCTTTCCAACTGTCCTTCTAGTCAAGGCATTCCACAGCTCTTCAGCTGGAGCCAGGGGAGGGGACCTCTCATGACTGCCTACAACTCAAAAGGAGTTTAAAGGCTTTTCCGGAAGCAGCTAAAGTGCTGTTCGGCACTGCTTGAGTGTTTTCGTCTCTTAGTGGTCTGTAAGCGAGCGCTACGACGGGCTCAAATAAAAGCGACAGCACGGTCGATTTTTCGGCCACAGTTGGTCAACAGATAGCCTCGTATGTCTTAAGTGCAGTGGGTGTCGAACTACTCACGAAGAATCACGATCTCATCGTAGGCTAACTGGAAGCCCAATTGGGTCATTTCAGGTTCGAGCTATTGGACATTGAAGGATATTCTTGGTTCTCTTACAAACTAACACTGCAAGTTATAATACATAAAAAAAAGATTGAATAAGAGCAACGCACTTCACCGTTGTCCGAATTTCGTAAAGGTCGTATATGGTTCGACTGGGCAGGAAGAATGTATTCAGCTTGAGGCAGTTGACACGATAATATGGTGTTCGAAAAAAATGCTTAAAGGGCGCTATGTAGAAATTCCGAGAAATAACTATGTTGAAAATGGTCAAAAAACCATGCCAAAAAAACCTTCGTTCGAAACACTCGAAAAGCCGATTTCGGAACTGAGTTACCCGTAGGGCATCTTGCTAATAACTGCGACGGTATGCGCTGATTCATATTAGCATTGTCGCCAATTAAGCGAATACGAGCATCAACATCAGTCGGACATTTGTGGGCGGGCGAGCGCGGTGGGCGTCCTCCGGGTTAGTGCGTTGCTGCTTGATATGGCGCTATAAGGATACTTCTGGAAAAGGCACTAAGCAGCGCCAGCGCTTAGTGCATTCGGTACTTCTACGAGCAGCTTAGGAATCCGTACTTTACCCGCTTTTCTTAAACGCGGCTGTGGTCTTTACGGAGATGTCCAATTACTGTGAGATCACGGCCTGACACATTTAATCTCTCAGTGCCACAACTTCTGGCGGAGTCAACTCTCCCCCAACTGTCATTTGGTAACGCGGCATTTGGATATCATTTGCAAAACACGACACCCTAGAAATCTTATCCTCTCTCCGCTTTTCCGGAGTTCCCCAGAGATCTCCAGTTATAATCAGCAATCTGCAGCTGAGCGTGGCGAGAAGCGTTCGGGTAGGGGCGGGGAGGGGGGTGATGTGAGTCACATATATAGACAACCCACTTGAAACGGAAAACTCCGGAGGAAAACTACAGCGCGGGAGCCCGAAAAAAGTCACTCTTCCTTCAGTGACTTTTCAAGGCTCTATAAGTTAACACTATTATTTAAATTCTGCATCGCGACATTGCTTACCACATATCAAAGAGCATATTAAATACTATCATGACACTCCGCCACAGTCCTTCTGGACGAGCGCCATCGAGAGATTCTGGCACGCGATGTGGTGCCTGAGATCAGCGAGATAGTCGATTTCTCCGCCCCGTAGACCACCCTATTGAACTCCGCCCGAACCGGGTAATTGAGGGGATTCAGGTCAGGTGACCTACTTGGATATTCCACCTTCTTTAGGTATTCAGCCCCCTTCCATTCCAAGTAGGCGAGAGTTTCTCCAATGCCCTTCGATTCCATGTGGTGGCACCCAATGCTGTAGCAGTACAAAGTTTCAGACAGGTACGGGGAGGATTATTCTTCTCGAGTTGTCGATGTGAACCGCCAGCGCTCACCTTCAGTCCGGGGCCCACGAAGAAAATATTGGTCTTTCCATTCCAGGTACGTCCGGTCCATACCATCAACCCGCGCTTGGGACTGTGGTGAAGATGGTGTCAGTTAGGACCGCCAGGCGACGTTGTGTCTGGAGCTTGCCTCCGATGTTGGAGATCATCCATGCGTCTATCTTCAGTCCTGGTACTCGCTATCACGTTCTCTGTCTGGGCCAGCGCGAAATTTGCCTGATATGTGACTCCATCAAAGTGCCACTTTTTGGGCCACCCCCCATTGTATATCTGCTAGCTGATCGAAGTGTTCATCACCCCGCGCCCCCCCATCCTCAGTCTCGTCGGCTGTGCGGGAAGTTTGGTTAAGAATCAGTAGTGTGAAAAATGGGTCATACAAGAGCCCTTTGTTGGGGCCCCGAGGGGTGTTTGAGGAGTGCGCACTACATGCCTCATTCACCACATCCCTGCTGATGTACTTAGAATGATAGGCTTGGTAATACGGCGCCGTTTGGATTCGCGGTAGGAGCGCTTGCTTCACAAGTAGCGGTTTACAAAGTCTCATTCTGGTGAAACCTGTGAACACTTGTGAAGCTGGAGCAAGCTCTTCAAGCCACCATGTTAGCATCGACAGTCTTTGGGAAGTAGCAAATGCTAAACGCCTTCCCTGTCGCCGAACAGCCCCTCATAGGGCTATAAGCGTTCACGGTTGTGTTGAACTAAATCAGCAAATTGGCCACAATGGACAAAGTTAAACTCGCAGCGTGGGCTGTGAGTTATGAAGGCTTAACTCCAGCATCAAGTTCTTATGGTTCTTGTATTTATGCCTATATTTCAGCTACAAATTGATCCGGATATATCCGGATAACGACGATTCTCTTCGTTATTTGAATACGCTCTACGAAGGCTCTTCACCATATGAACTCGATTTTTGGCAGCCACCAACCCATATAGGTGAGTTTCATTGCTAATGTAAAAAGTCCCTGTACTGCTACGGTATGAACCCCAATTCCGGAACTGGAAAGGCTTGGCTTGCCTTGACTTTGTTAAGAAGTTGCTGTAGGATGCGCCTTTCGTTAAAAGATTCCATCCGGACGGAGTGGGACTGTACGTCCTAGAGTACAGGTGCTGTGATAAAAAACGAGGACGTACGTCTTGGTCCGGCACGGACTGTGACAAACAATATGACAGTAATAAAGGCGTTGTCTCGCCAACATTTTGCACGTAGTACGCCTGCCCATCTCCGGGATGTGGCAGTGCATCTTGCACAGGTTCACCTTCACTCCGAATGTAAGCGCCAGCAGAAAAAGGTTGTTTCAATGTCATTGAGGAAAAAATGCGAAGCTCAGACCAAGCTTATTCAGATCTGAGCGTAAGTGAGAAGCGCTTTCGTCAGATCTTCTCAAAAAGTACTTTTCTGGACCGTGGAAGTCCCACGAGGCCAACTAAACAGCTTAACAACATCATCGTTATAGAAAGGAAATTTCTAGTATTTCTATGAATTAGCCCTATAAGTCAGCCACCATAACGATTCGGCAATATGCCCGTTATTTTCAAAGGCATTATTGGAGATGGGGCTCTTGTGAAAGCGCTGAACCTCTGGGATAGCTGAATGGGCTGGGCTGATATGTCCGACAAACCAGGGAGATCTCTGTTGTCAATCCATGGCACTCGTCCCTGGAGCTTACTAAACTTACGAATTTTTTTCCTTCTTAAACGCCACAAAGGGGAGAAGCATTAACTCTTCGTGTCCTTAATTTTTTTTAATATTTCGCCTACTTTCTTTAGTAGTTCGAGACATTAAACAAACATTACTTGTGAGTTTTGACTGAAGCGCTGCACTGCCGTGGCCGTGTGCATCTAATAGGGAATTTTTCTGGAATTTTTAAACCGTCAGCGTTTCGAGCTTCGTCAAGCTCAGCGACAAGAAAGTGAAGATATCGAACCAGCGAACTGAGCAGCGTCTGCCATCGTCCTCCAGCTACCATCAGTGTTTTCTAGGACTAGCGAAAGTATGCCGTATCGATCTTAGCCGTCTACGCTCCACCTGCGTCTACCAGCGACCGGGAGTAGAGAGTATGGGAAAAGTAGGAGGTAGCAGACTGCTGGTAGAGTATGGGAAAGTAGGAGGGAGCGGACAGCTGGATTAGGCGTCGTGAAATTGCGGCGTGGGCTACCGCACCGTACTACACAATACCATACCCCTGACGCTGGTAAACTCCGGGAGACGCTAGATCGATATCCATACTTTTCTAGTCTCTCGAGAGCTGATGGCCGCTGGTGGACGCTGGAAGGTGCTGATGGGCGCTGCGGCAGACTATGAAGGCAGCCTATACTTTGTACCATCTTCATTTCTTCTGTTTTGGTTGTAAAGGCGTATATGACAAAATTTTCATGGCTCAGATTTTTCTCATTTCAAATGGGCAATATCCACTCCCCCCCCCCTCCCCAGCTGAACAGATGAAGCCGACAAAATCACACCATTCCCTTCCAACTACATGAAAATCTTCAGGTGCAATTGTTGACGTGACAGTGGCGCCGTCGGATGCGCCGATTTTTGTACGGGACCTGGAATCGAAACAACTTCACTACGTTGTCGCTGTAAACGATTTGGAGAGGTGAGATAGATTTGTTTTGGGATGGCAATAGTTGAAAAATGCCTAGATATATTCCACTGTCTTCAGAGCTATAGAAAACGAGAAGTCCCCTCCTGCATTCTATCATCCAGAAGCTGGTGGCTATTCATACGACAAATACAACTCCCTTGAAGACATCCATGACGAAATGATCAGATTGAGAAAAGAGAAACCAGATATGATTTCACTAATCGATATTGGAGAAACCCATGAGAATCGATCACTTTTGGTGATTAAGGTGAGCGGAGACGAAAGTACCAAGGTTTTCAAAAGGCACAGTCCGCGATAATCGTGTGGGCAGTGTCAGGCTTATCCTTTCTTCCTATTCTCGGATTCTTCTCTGTTCGTTTGCTACCTTACAAGAGAACTCTGCGAGGGAACCGACGAGGTAGGCCTGGCCCCACCCATACGATTACCGTGGACTGTGTGCTCAGAAAAACAGAGCATTCTTAGATTTTACCCATTCCACGAATTAATTAGTGAAATATGGTTCTCTAATTTCAGATTTCTGGTCACAGGTCGGCGATCGGAAAGAAGATATCGATGTGGATTGACGGTGGTATACATGCAAGGGAATGGATAGCCCCAGCTACTGCTATGTACATCGTCCGCGAAGTGAGATGTCCTACTGGAATAAACTTCTAGAGACCGTTGCACAGCAGTGCTTGAAGGTTTAGAGGGAACAGGACAGGGGGCAGGTGATGAATGTGCAGTGGATCAATTTTTTTCTCATCAGAGAGAGAAAGGGATGATCCATTTCCAGCCAATTTACAAATCACCGAACGGAAAATGTGGTACCTGAGACGCGGCAAAGCTCTAGCTCGAACTATTTTCACTTGAACATGGCTGGCGGCAAGGATAGGCACTATTCGCGCAGTTTCAGCGCCAACGGAGCGGGCCACGTTGGCACATTTGAAAAATTCTCATCGTCGTTGTTCGAAGCCATCTAGATGGGCTATTCCATGAGCTCACAATAGTTGGCAGGTTTTAGTGGCTCGATGAGCACCTAGTGATCACTAGAGTTCGCAAGTTCCATCAGAGTGAGGTTTGTGAATCGGAAGTAGTGGAGCAGCGATAGTGCAAAATGCCCCCCGTCGCCGATCACCAACTTCATTTCTTCTATAATTAACCCACTTCCACTTTGCAGCTTGTGAACGGTTACGATTCCGACCCATCGATACAGAAAATTCTTGATCATGTGGATTTCTACATTTTACCTGTGATGAATCCTGATGGATACGAATATTCGCGCTTGAAGGTATGAACGAATTTTCGTAAGTGGAAACTGTGTGAAAATTGCGAATTTTGGAAGGTAGACTGTATGAAACAGCGTAGAGAGAAAATGTATGACCCACCATGTGTGTCATGCGGTGCGGAAAGTGTACAGACTGTATCGGCTGAGCAATTCTCTCCTAGTGAACTTCGAGACTGAGTTGTAGGTGACGTTTTTAATTCAGAAGTGTTCAGAACCGTATGTGGCGGAAAAATCGTCGGCCTGCTACTTGTAAACGTCAACATTTCCATACTGTCTGCTGTGCTGGTGTCGATCTCAACAGAAACTTTGACTGGTTCTGGTCTTGTGAAGTGTATTACTTTTCAACAAAATAGATTAGTTTTGCATTCGCTATTTTGATAGTCTATTAAGCACCTCGGAAGTTTCCTAATAAGGCTGCGTTCATACTTTGCGGCAGCGTACGCTAGCGTTTCCAGCGTTCGCCAGCAGCAGTGGCAAGGAAAGGATAGATATCGATCTAGCGTCACCAGCGTACGCTAGCGTAACGCTAGAGTATTCGGCGTGCGCTGC